ACTTTGATCTTCATTGTGTATTTACCAAATAACTTAAAATGTCATGATTATATACCTGTTGTGTACCTGTATAAAATTTCCCCAGTAAAAGGTTATGAGAAACAAAGCAAGCAATCCCAGACTAAGTTAACAACCTGGACAACTTCAGTATCTCAATTCCCAACCAGATTCAGATACTCAAAAGAACCTTTTGCAAAGTTAAAAATAAAATCAATAAAAAATAAAAATATCCATACAGAAAGAAAGGATAAGAATGTCTTAGCCTTGACTCTCCCAAGGAAATTCTCAGAACTGATTACTTACTCTATTTGAGGACTACAGAATTGATATTATACAATTGTAGAGAAAGACCATGACAGAAGAAACAAACAGCAAAATACTAAACAGGGGGTACATTGAAAAATACTAAGACAGCACTGAGTTTTGTTTTGAAGTAAATGAAGACTCTGTCTCATGCATTGTAACTGTGTGTGTTAATACACCACACTAAAATGGAATGGTTATGTCCAACTTAGATCAGGTGAATGAGCCTAAATAGAGGAAAGGTATTAGCCCTTAAACATTCATGACGATAAATAATTACATGAACCAGAATTTACAAACAGTAACTGGTATCTGGGGAGGCATGAACTGAGATTTGAGGGCATGAACATTTTTTAATGCCTTAGAAACATGGGTTTCTGCTTTAATCTTTTTAAAATTATTATTTTATATTTTTAAATTTAAATTAGAAACAAGGTTGCTTCACATGTCAATCCCAGGTCCCTCTCCCTTTCCCTCCCCTCTTCCCATGCCCTCCCACCAGCCCCCCCAATGCCCTCTCCTTTCCGCAGGGAGGGTGAGGCCCTCCATGGGGGTGTCCATAGTTTGTCATTTCATCCAGGGCAAGGCCTAGACCCTCCCCCAAGAGTCCAGGGTGAGAGTGCATCTCTCATTGTGGGATGGGCACCCAAAGTCCATTTGTATGCCAGGGATAAATACTGATCTACTACCCAAGGCCCCATAGATTGCCTAGGCCTCCTCACTGACACCCACATACAGGGGGTCTTGATCAGTGAGGGCATGGACATTTTAACTTCAGACAAAGAATGGAAGTTAAATAAGTAAATAGATAAAGTGCTACTTTATTAAAATACTCAGTTTATTTCACATGTATATTTTTGTCTCCCTAACATTTCCACATCTTTCCACCACTATTACTATGTCCTATCATAACATTCCATACATACTTAAAACCAAGTAAATGGTGGCGTTCCATCCTTGAAAACTAAACAGGCATTTTAGACAACACATTCTTGGCAATGGAACCTGGACAACATTTATCAAACAAAGTAGGGAAAGTTCTCACTTTGCATTATAAAAAGGACAGCCAGATATATCAACTGTTACAGAAATTAAGTAAGATGGAATATTTCAAACTGTTTAAACCATTTTCTTAGAGAGACTTCCTCCACTGCCAGAGATCCTGACTAGCCTCCTGGTCAGTCATCCGGAAGCAATTCTTCACATAATTAATGAACTTGGCTTCCATTTTGGGAAGAGAACCACCTTTTTCTATACTTGCTTGCAATTTTTGCCTTAATGTCTTCTACAGAACTAGGTCCTTTTGGAGTTTTAGGAGTTATTTTCCTGTTTTTTGAAGGACTCTTGACCTTTTGATCTTAGTGTTGACAGTTTAAGTTTTTTCCATTTTGGTTTGATTTTTGTGCACGTTTGGCTGGGGTATCTCGTACATATTTCTTCACTGTTTCTTCATCATCAAAGTCATCATCATCATTATCTTCATCATGTTCATCCTCATCCTCCTCTTCTTCATCGATTTTTACTTTTTTCTGTGGAACTTTGCTACCTCCTCCAGGAGCAGATCTCTTGCCAGACATACTTAAGAGTTTCATTTCCTCCTCATCTTAATCTTCTGACTCAGCATCTTCATCTACAGCTACTAAATGCTGTCCACCAATGTGCACAGGCCCTGAACCACACCTCAACCGGAAGACCACAGGTGGTGTAATTTCAAAGCCTCCAAGGGAAACTGTTGGTTGTACAGACATTTTCAAAGTTGCCAGTGTTACTTTAATTGTACTGCCTTCATAGTTCATTGCTTCGGCCTCTATGATGTGTAATTCATCTTTTGCCCCTACCCTTAAACTAACAGTTCTTAGTGACAACTGGTGTTCATTCTCATCATTATCCACTTAAAGTGCTAATGTTTGTCAGCTTTTAGCTCACAACCAAAAAGGTAGTTCTGTGACCTAAGAGGGCTCATGTCCATGTCCATCGAGTCTTCCATGAGGAAGAGGCACACACTTCGTGTGAGAGAAGTTGGATGGAATAAACTGCCTACTGCTCCTCAGAACAGACACGCTGGACGTAATCATGCCAGGTCTTGAGGGATAATTTATATTCAAAATATAACCCATCAGGGAGTCTTAATATAGAACATAAACTTTGTTGCAAGGTTTTATAGATTAGACTTTATGAGCTGCATGTCTAGCTTTGTTATTTAGTAATTTATATGTCCTTGGTGAAGTTAATTAACATTCTTATGCCTTGGTTTCCTCATCTGCAGCCCGAGGTCAATAATAGTTTCTTGTAGCATCAGAACAAATATTTAAGAACTGATATGAAGGACTTGGAATAGGATTTAGCAAACAGCAGTATTTGCAGTTAGAGAGAGTTAACAGGACTAATTCTTATATTGCTTTATTACTGTTCTTGGCATTGGAATGATTCATGTGAAATCTTTGCACATAGTGAACACCCAATGTCACCATTACTTGAAAATCATGCTTTTTGTACTTAGTTTTAAATACACATCCTTCATTTATAATTTCTCATAGAATGATGTAAGCATCACTTTGTTATTTATATATTTATTTACTTTGAAAACAGATTCTTCTCTTATACAATACATCCTAACCTTCCCTCCACTCTTCCCAACCTCCTCTCCTCTTCCCCAGACCTTCTCCCTCTCTATTTCACTTCAGAAAAGAGCAGGTCTTCAAAAGACAACAACCAAACACGATACAACAAGATAAAAGACAAGGCAAAAGCCCTTCTAGGGAGACTGGACAAGGCAACCCAATATGAAGAAAAGAGTCTCAAGAGTAGGCAAAAGAGTCAGAGACATCCTCACTTTCCATGTGAGGAGTCCCACAAGAACACCAAGTTATGCATATATGCCATAATATAACATATATGCAAAGGACCTGATGCAGACCCATGCAGGCCCTATGCTTGCTTTTTTAGCCTCTATGAGCCTATATGAGCCCTGTTTAGTTGATCTGGTAGTCCATGTTCTCCTAGTGTCCTCCATTCCCTCAGACTCCTACAGTCTTTCCTACCCCTCTTTCTTGGGGTTCTCAGAGCTCTTAGGGGAGGGACATTATTGGAGACCTCTAATTTAGACTCTCTTTCCAAATAATGTATGATTGTGAGTCTCTGCACACATTCCTATCTGCTTCCAGAGGAAGCCTCTCTGATGATGATTGGACAAGCAATGATCTCTGAGTATAGCAGAATATTATTAGAAATTATTTCTTTGATATTTTTGCTAGTCTTGTTTGGTTGTACCCTAGGTCTCTGGACTTCACTTTTAAGTGTTCTATAATGCAATAGGAATTAAGCATATATGTTTCCAAGGGTGTTTGCAAATACGGAATAAAGAAATCTAAAGTGACAGTAAAGTCTTAATTAAGAACTGAAGACAATGATCAACATTAGTGCTATATTTAAGTTTGGAGACAAATAAACCCACAGAGAAGCCATATTAGTAAGGATTGGCCTTACAAATGATATATGTATGTTTGAAATGCAGAGCCTTAAGCACTGACATGCTATTCATTTCAGGTAAGAGGAGATAAGGGGGGAAGTAACTCATTTAGGATAACACAATTAACAGGACTAGAATCTAGCTCTCTAGAATCTAAAGTCTCTGCTTCACTATCTGTTATCTGCATTTTGCAACTATAACACTATACTGAATTGTGTTTGTCCACTGGTGAAATAGTGGCAAGACCATTTGGGGAGTAATCAGCTGTGTTCTGATTGTATTAAAGGCTGGGACTGGAGAGGGTTTTTGGTTGTGTTTAAGGCCCAGTGTTTAAAAGCACTTTTGGTCTTACAGAATACCTGGCTTTGGTTCCCAGCACCCACATGGTAGCTTACAACATCCTGCATTTCCAGTCCACAAGGAATCAATACCTTCTTCTGATCTCATTGGGGACCAAGCACACACAAGGTTCTCATACATACATGCAGGCAAACCACTCATACACATACAAATAAAAAATAAAATACATCTTCAAAAGATGGATGGCAGGACACAGGCTCTAGGGAGGAATATACTACTGATTTTGTTTAAATGGACGCATAGTCAAATTGCCTTCTAAGTATTTATGTTTATACCCATGGTCTAGTGTTAATCTCAGCTTTGGTCAGAGAAGCTTTTATTTGTAATGGGAGGCACTTTATGCAGAGACTCATACATAAGTGGTCAAAGTGCTGAAAATAAGTGACTGTGGAATGCTCAGCTCTAAATTGCACAACTATACCTCCCTATCTAAGGGCCAGGGAACATTGTCAGAGATAGAGTGGGAAGATTTTAAGAGTCAGAGGATAGAAAGGAATGCTATGAAGTATCTTCAGGATATAACATGACTGTTACAGTCATGAATACATATCAGCTGTGGCAACATGCACAAGACTCACAAAAAAAGAACAAAAAGATGTAACTGTACTTGTAATTATAAGCAGACACAGGATGTTAACAGAAAGTTATAGGGTCAAATATAATAATATATTGTATACATATGTGAAATCCTCAAAAATTAAAAAACCCTGTAACATTGGCTTCTGACACTTGAAGAAGAAGGCATTTCATTTCTTATTTGTTTTAGAAACAGAAAGTAATGTGGTTTAGGAAGAATCAGGGACTATAGATAAGCGGCGGTAGATTGTGAATGCTAAGTTTAATCTTTTAACATTTGTGCCATCTGCAGACCAACACTGAGAAACTGAAACTGTGAATCTGAGGAAATTCAAGTAAGTGTGCTTTTATGCTACATTCCCTGCATAGATCATCATCTATCTTTTTAGTTCTGGTTGGCTCATGTTTTTGAGTTCATCCAAAGTGGTTAATTTTTCTTGCTCTCTTAATTTCCTACAAGGGTGTCCTATTTGTCCATATTTTGGATGGGCTGCCCAGAATTGCCAAGGACTTTGTTTTTAACTAATTAAAGGAGACATGAATGAGAGAGGCCTGCAAGTGTTTAGTCCTTTGTGTGAATTTCCTTGAATGCAAACACGGGAGCAGAGTTTCTATGGAGCAGCTGGTCTCACCATTTTTGATTTTGCTGAGGCAGGTAGTTGACCTTTTTGAGGAAGTCTGGGTTTTCTCTGTCTTGGGAAATTGCTGATAACATCAAGCCCAGAAGGAGGTGAATAAAATGGAAAAAGAAAAATTCATAAAAGTCATGCCAAGATTCAGATTTCCAACCCCACCCAATTCTTCCCCAGCTCTCCTTTCAGCTGCTACTTGCTTCCCAGGAAGCAGAAAACAATAGGCTACTGATTGAACTTAGGTCTAAACTTCAGGCAATTAAAGGTGGAGGAAGTAAAGCATAGTTACAGTTAGATTCTAAGACCATATGTTTTCATTAGGAGGCATAGTTGTATACTTCATACTTTAATGGTGGCTCTGGTTCTCGAGTCAAACTTGGAAGCCAGTTCATCTTTGTAATTATTCTACTGTTCAAAGTTTCTAGCTGGTCAAGAAAGTGCAAAGGTGTAACAGTAAACAGAAGGAAAATCATGCTAATTCCAGCTGGATTGGGTTCACACCATGAGATCTGGAAAACTCAGAGATCTTGGGATTAAAGGAGAGTCATCGAGCAACTGGATTTTATGGTAGAGAACATAATGAAAATATTGATTCTCTCTGTTCCTTTCCAGAGGATTATAAGTGAAATATACTTGTCTGTGCAGCACAGTGAGATTTCTAGACTAGGCACTGTTTTTCACATGTAATTTTTATTGTTTGATAATTTCATGCATGTACACAGTATGTTTTAATCAAATCCCACTCCCTACTCTTGTCTCTCCCAATTCCTTCATGATCCCACTTGCTACTTTTCACTTTTAACCTAATATACTCTTTATTTTAATTCACTGAGTCCTCTTAGTGCTACCTGTGTGTGCATGTGGGTGTAGGACAATCTAATAGAGAATGGTTAGCTTTTCAAGGGCTACATAGTAACTGTTACTTGTCAGTTGTCATCATTCTCAATAGCCCTTTTCCTATCTTTCTTTCTAGAACTCGTTCCTTTAGTTAGAAAGTTTGTATTAATACTCCATTAATTTCCAGGAACATTACCAACAAACAGCACTACTGATAGGGAACTATAGCAATGTTATATTTGTTTATTGTTGTATCACTCCAAAATCCATCATTTAATGCATCAACCATGTTTATATAGTCTATAATTTATCAGTTCAGCTGAAGCTCAGCTGGGTTATTCCTTTGATCTTGTCAGATCACTCAGCAATATTAAGCTGGATGATGAGCTAGTCTAGAGGGCTTGCCATAAAGTCACTCACATCTCTTGTGCCTTGTCAAAGCTGAGTACAAAACTGATATGTTCTAGTCTTTTCAACCAGAACAACTACTTGTGTATGGCCTCACAAACATGAGAATCCCAGGGTTGTTGAACATCTTCCTTAATAAATTTTATTTGTAATTGACAAGTAATAGTTGTATATATTTCATGGGATACAGTGTGACACTCAAATATATATTTACAATATATAATTGTTGATAGGGATAATTAGCATATGAATAACTTCACATATCATTTCTTTGTGTTGGGCACATTGAAAACGCTCGTTGTAACATGATATGTAAAGTGATGTGATATGCTAATTGATGAATAATTATTTATAGGATTTCAGTAAAAGTTATCAATTGGTGTTGCTGGTTCATATGCTAAAATTGCTCTCTCTTTCTCCTTTTGCTAAATCCTACTCCTGCTTGGACATAGTTTAAGAAGTGCTTTTGTACTAGAAACTCTTCTTGACCATGCATTTAGATACCTTCCCTAAGACACCCCTACTCTTTTCCCTCACTTACCTTTAGATTTCCTATGTATATTTTATTGCAATCATTGATTGATTTAGTTCCATAATTTTTCTTCATATATTATTGTAATCTTGATTTATGTGATTTTTCAACTTACCCCCTTAAAAGAAATACATTGCTAATCTGACAGAAATATCTGTAGTTCTCTGTGCAACAAGGACTGGGATGATTCAAACCAATACAGTTGCTTCCATCCTGGTAGGACAGACAGATACTGAATCATTATAAATGCAGAAAACATTCAAAACAAAAATTTGTGAATCATACAATTAGCAATAGGGACTGTCTCATCTTTGTTGACATCATGAGGCTACACATAAAATAGTATCTTGACAAATGTTTAAATAAAAGAGTTAATAATGGAGATGATTTTGTTGAAAAATGTGCATGGTTTTGTCAGAAGAATGTAATTTTCTATTATTGTTAAGATCTCTCTCTCTCTCATATTCTCCCAGGCCAGAACATGATGCTTTCTATTAGAAATAGTGGAGTGTGGCTGGAAAGATTACTCAGCAGTTGAGAGTATTGGCTTCTTCTCAAGTGAAGCTTGCTTTTCTTTCCAGCACTCACATGATGGCTCACAGCCATGTTTAACTCCAATTCCAAGGGATATGATGCCTTCTGGCCTCCATGGGCAAAGGAACCCATGTATTGCACAGATATACATGTAGGCAAAGCATACATACCCATGTTTTAAAAAAGTAAAATAAATAGTAAAGAGACAAATCGTAGTGAGACACAGTCAGTCCATGCTCTTTGCTTCCAGACAGATTATACTAGCCTCTGCTCATCTCTAGATCAGTTTCCTGTCTGGGAGCTATGAAATGTTGCCTCTTCTTACTTGTTAAATTTTGATTTCAGCTATCACAACCCTGTTGATAGATGTACTGCAATTTCCTGCTGTCTATTATGTTTAATCCTTTGGAATAATTTTGGCTGCACTTGATTGTGGTAGCTATACACACAAATCTTGCCTGCCATCATGTTCTGGTGAATGTAGTTGGGAGTATATCATTTTTATCCTTTTTAAAAATTTAAATTAGAAATAAGCTTGTTTTGCATGTCAATCCAAATTCCCTCTCCCTCACCCAGAGCATCATATTAGTAGAGTCTCATTATATAACAGGAATAATAAAAACCCAGAGACAGATTGGAGTTAAAGCTAAAGATCAGGAAAGCAAAGTGGTCAGCCACTAGAGAGTTTTTACCTCTACCAATGCTCAGACCAAAGGGGCAAATCATGTCCTCTGATTGCATCTCCAAACTGCAGTACTCCTCAGATTGCCTAGACTGTACAGAACTCCTGCCTTATATTCCTCTCTAGTTCTGGGATTAAGAGTATGTCAACCCAAGTGCTTGGATCAACGGTGTGAGTTTGGTTTTCTTTTAATCTAATTTACTCTCATGTACCCCAGGATGACCTTGAACTCACGGAGATCCATCAGCCTCTGTCACCTGAGTGCTGGGATATAAGATGTGAACACTGCTTTCTGTCTTTTATGGCTAACTAGTGGCTTAGTGTGTGAGTGTGGCTTACTAGTGGCTTAAATCTTAACTAGTTTTGTGGCTAACAAGTGGCTTAGCTCTGCACTCTGATCTTCAGACGAACGTTATTTGTTCAATTACAAACAAAAAGATTACTACATCCGTATATTATTGAATTTCCCTGAGTATGATGTCAACATTTTAGGTACTTAGAACAACATTAAAAATAATCTCTACTTGCTAGCTTTATAACTTGGAGTCTAATTTTCTCATCTGTGAAAATGGGGATAATAGTCTTGACCTTGTTGGGTCATTTAAAACAGAGCACCTACCAAGTAACTGCTGAAAAAAATAGTAGTTCTCTCTTATTGCAGTGTACTAACTTTTGAATTGCAGCAGAAATCATTGTATTGAGACCTATAAGTACATATTGTACATGAAGCACAGTCCCCCCTACCCTCATTTTTTTCACACCTTCTTATTGCTCCAATTTATTTCCCTAGATAGTTTTTAAGGCAGAAGTTGTTCTCTTCCCTATAGTATATGGTTTACAACATTTTCCCAGGTGGGAATAATTTGTTTGCAAACTTGATTGTGACTACACTTTACTAGAGTTTTTGGATTCTGGTCACATGGCTACTGAGTTCCCTCGCCTGGAGAATTCAGACTCATTGGCCTCTGGCACACTGGGTTCTGTAGTTTCAATCCTGTTTTTAGTTAATTAGTTTGTTTTGTTTTCTTCCTGTCACCCTATTTTTGTGTTGATATAAAATGAAAATATAAATACATGAAAATGAGACAGTATTTTAGAGGGGATACTTTTTGGAGAAGTATTATTTATTCTAGCCTGGATAATAAGAGTATTAATTAGGGTTTCTATTCCTGTAATGAAACACCATGACCAAAAACTACTCAGGGAAGAAAATTGCATTTCTCCTATGTAGGAGGAAACAGTACTCTGCCATTAGCCATGTGACTTATTAGATGCACAGATGAGGTAATAAAAGGGCGGTTTATCACACTTCTAATCACACCTACTTTAGGCATTACTAAAGACATATACAGACATAGGCAGTGAACTGCTTCACTAGCCCGGCCCACTTTTGGGCATGGCTAGGGGCGTGTACGGAGGAAGGAATAAAAGACTGATCAGCAGATGGTCTCGCTCTCTTTCCGGCTTTCAGTTTGGCGACGGAAAAATACTTGGCTCATCTGGGTTGCTTGTTTTTCTCTTGTGAGTAATTTCTACAATAAATACTTATACTTTCAATAAGTGTGCTGTTTATCGTTGCAGCATCACACCTATACCTTCATGTCACAATTGATCAATAAGGGCAGTCAGGGCAAGAACTCAAACAGAGCAGGAATGTGGAGATGGGAGCTGATGTAGAGACCATGGAGGAGTGCTACTTACTGGCTTGCT